GAGAGTTGAGAGACTAACAGCAAGCCAAGCGCCCCAGGTGCAAAGTGTAAATGAAGACTGATTGCAGTGCACATGGCGAGGTAAAAGAGTTGTGGCGGTGAGGGGGGTTTCTGTGTGGAAGGATAAAGAAGAGTGGCATAAAAAAAAAAAAAGAAAACGCTGCTCTCTGCCCCGACGCTCTTGTTTGCCGAAAAACGGGGGGTAATTGCGGTTAAGTGCTGGTTTATTGGCTTGGCAAAAGGACTTAAAAGATATTTGAATTTGGCAACGCGACAAAAATACACCCTGAGCCTGATTCCTGATACAACACCAAGGTTAAGGGCAAGTTTTTGCCAACCCCCTAAACTTAAGCATTCATATTTATGATGAGGTGTGTTGGAGTTAAAGAAAAGGAGTTAAGATACCAGCATAAATGAGTTTTGCCATTCATTATGCCATCTTGGGTTTCCCTCTGTTTTTTGCTTTTATCAACATTAATTTCTAAAAGCATTTCGAAGGCAGCTACACATCAGCGGATCACATTAAAAAATTAATTTTTTAATTGAAATACAAACCTCCTGGCAATCCAGAGAGCTCCCCAAAGAGGTGATTCCTGTTGGTACACTCCACACACTCTACATTCAACATATATGTTGGCGATGGGGGAGACAGCTGCTGTCGCTCACTTAAGTTAATACGCAAACCAAATGTCACTCAACATTATCAACAGCAAACGTAATCAGTTAAAACTTTTTCCTGCCTCTCTCTCTTCCGCTCTCTCTCTCTCTCTGTCTCTTTGTTGCTGTTGTTATATGGGCCTAAACCATTCCACAGACCGACAGACTGAATGACAGACAGTGGTTGTTATTGTTGCTATTGCTGCTGTGCAAAAAGTTGGCAACATGTTTGTACTTTATTTCAATTTTGTATGTCCTCTACTTGACTCTCCTCCGACAAGCAAGCCAACATTGTGAGTGCCCAAAACAAAGGGAACTACAAACGCAAAACTACAACGAATCCTAGATGTTCTGCCAAAGGTCATGTGTATAAACCCTTACGATTGCTTTCCAATCAGATTTTTATGATTTTTACTTCTAACTTTTGATTTTTACTTAAACTTTTTTAGTTAAAGTTTAGGTGAAGGGTAAAAGACTGTCAAGGCAGTAACTCTCTATGCCCTTCTTCCTGGAATAGTAATTTTTCTATTTGGTTTCACTTTTTTGGGGAATGAAAACTGAACACAAAACCATAGGCAGAATGTCTAAATTTTGCTTTTGCCATAGAGTCCCGCAACCTGATATAGTCCTTCTGCCGTCGAAACGAGCTTGTCGTAAGTGCTCGCGGGTTCTCTCTCTTTTTTTTGCATATTTTTGGGCAACTGCTCGCGTCGCGTCACTTTGCAAAACTGCTAACAAAGGGTGGGGCAGGTAGTGGATACTGGGTAGTAGGGGGGCAATGAAGAGAGGTTTCAGAAGCAAAGTGGCGTGTGTGGGCCACTTGACAGCCGTTTAAATGCATTAAAAAATTACCTACTCTAACATGAGCAATGGAAAAGAGGCAAAGGAAAAGCGAAGCAAAAAACCAGCGGCAAACATGTCAGCCGCCCAATTTCACATGTGACAGAAGGGCGGAAAGCGGGAAAAGCGTGAAGGCCTACGTGGTTGTCACGCTCAATGGAAAAGCGGGGGAAAAATCAAATCCACTGCAACTGGCGTTCAATCCAAAGAGGTCAAAAGCGAAGAAAGGATTTGTTAAGGGGAGCCATGAGCTTTTTTTAGTTACCTACTGAAGAGGTTTTAACTTTAAGGAAGACTTTTAATAGAAACTTCTAAGAAGAAACTTTCCTTAGATCTTCAGACTATGAGATATGGCTAAGCTTGAACTAATGAACTTATAACATCCACTATCATAATTACCTAGAACAACCCTTCCTCCATCTTTTTATATACTTTTTGATAGCGATGAAATTATGTTTAAAAAACTGCCTTAAAAATAGTAAAACTCAATATTTATTCATTAATTAATCTCGAATAATAATTTCTTACTATTTCTGTAGAACCGCAAACCCTTCTCCTGACAGCCTTTTGTTAGGATATTTCAAAGGAAAACCGCATAGAACATGGGAAACAACTCAACGGGACAGAAAATTACGAACCTGGGTGACTGACAGCGTCCAGTTTTTTTTTTTTTTTTTTTTTTGGTGGTCCTGTCCTGTTTTTGGGTGCAAAAACGCATTACGCATTCACTTTGCTCAACACTTGTGTGTTCATTTTATGCAGCAGCCTAGCCCCGTCCGCTCGTTTCGATCCCATTACCAATGCTCGCTTACCGCACTCGGGTCTGTGTACGTTTGTTCAAATATTCATTGCAAATTCCAATTAAATTTTCGCTTAAATTGGCAATACCAACAGCGAAATCTGTAGCTGATAGCAGCTCAAAAGTTTGTTTTCTTTAAAGCTCTTTTCAATTTTACCTGGCATACGCCGAGTATTTCGCTCGGCCAAATGAAAATATTTTCGTATTTTTAATACCGTTTGAGGGGTAGGAAATGAAAGCGGGAAAGGGGTTTTATAAAAAGGAAATGTTTTAGGTTTTTCAATTTTTATATATTTTATTTTATTAGCACTAATTATTGTTAAAATGTGAAGAACTGAAAACTCATTAAATTTCAGATTAAAAAAAGAGAAGAATTTGCAAGCTTAACAGCTTTTTTTTTATAAACTTAAAGCTGTAATTCTTAATTTAATTTATATTCTATCTTTATTTTTATTAAATAGATTGCCTAATACTTAAGTCAACCATCATTAACAATGCCAAGCCAGCTTTTTCCCTAAAACACATTACCCTCTGTTGGACTCCCCGAGGTTGGTATGCAAAATAAAGTGGTCCCATGCTGGGACTTTCTCCGCTTTATTGCTTTAAGATTTATGTCTCTGAATTGCATTCTACATTGGCCTGATTTGGGCCAACTTGGTATGAACTAACTTGGCATGAGTTCTACAGCCTCAATAAATGGGCTCACGCTGCGTATGAGCAATATTTCAATTAAGTTTTTTAAGGAAGCCTAAAAATTTAGGTTTTTCTTGTAATTTAAAGTTATTATATAAATAGATTATTAAATTACATACATTATCAACTCTCGTTTAAGCTTTAAACCCCCTACAAAAGGTCAAATGAGAGCAGAAGGTCAACGCCTGCTGCTTACACATAGAAATCGAACAGTCCTTAGAAAATGAAGACAAAAAGCCTGGGGAGTTTTTTAGTGGTCTATTGAGATGAATTTAAGTTGTGGCACTGACAAAAATAGCAAAAAGAAAAGCAAAAAAGACGCTCTGTGTGAAAAATATCGATAAGTTGGGCATATTGATAGTAAGTTTGACCTGGAAAATTGCAAACTTAAAACTTAAAGGAAAATGAATTTATGTTTAAAAAAAGATAATAAAAACAAACACTTAAAGCCAACATTAACATAGTACAAGCAATAATAAACTTATAAAAATAAACCAACAAAAAAAGAAATAAATTTCATATTCAACCTGGTTAGCTGGCCTGGCACTTTCCATTTCCAATTGCTATTGCAAATGAATGCAATTATACTCACTCGTCTGGTTACATACTACCAGGAAGAAAGCAGAAATTATGGGCTATATAAATCGTATTGATAAATCCCTGGCCAGCACGTAATATGGAAATTAAAAAACACAACCCAAACAAGGTACAGTCCAGAAATTGGTTAAAACCAACTCATCCACACTCTCACACCCATTTCTGCAGTGCAGTGTAAATGTTCAGTCACATGCACAAAGGACATGCAACATTGTTTTAATTTTTTGCCAAGTCTAGGCCTTCTCGTCTAACAAAACAAAACGAAAACGCGTTTGGTATGTCTGGGGCTCATGAATTTTCTAGAGCTTTGCTTTTATTTTTAGAAAACGAAAAAGTTGCAGAAGAACTTTGTTTGCGTTTCAGAAAATTGTATTTAACCAGGGATTTGATTATAAATTTCATTCATCATCTTCATAAACATTTCGAGACATGATTCAAGCCAGACAATCTTCTTTCCAATTTAAAATCTAACAAACCCAGACATTTGCGGTCAACCTGTTTAGTAAGGGTTTTTTTTTCACTAGAAAACCTGTTCTGCCAGGCAAGAGCCAAAGAGCATTTCTTGCAACCTTGTGGCAAATGGGGAATGGAAAATTGTTACTCGAAAAATCGCAGACTCTTCCAGACCCGAGCTTCCGTTTGCAAATGTTTCAAGTTTAAAATGAGCGTGTAATTAGAAATGTAAAGAGGGTAATGAGAAGGTCTGGGGAAAAACGGAAAGTGGAGTCGAGTCAGCTGCAGAGCAAAAGTCACTGCTGCTGCTGCTTCAGCTGCAACGTGTCCCGAGGAAATGTCCCCCCCCACGCAAAGGAAGAAAATGGCGAATAAAATTGAAATAAAGTGGTGGAAATGCAAAAACGTGCACTTAACCAGACATACACCTTAACCGCAAGAACTAACACCACATCTCACATCGCTTTTGCTTTGGGAAGTTTTTTTTTGGAATCTCCAACAATGAGTGCAAATGGTGGCAGCATAAAAAGTTATGTATAAAAATCTTTCGCTATTTTCTGCTTGCATTTCCGTTACAAGGCGAACAGAATTTGCATGTGACATTTGTGGTTGCGTTTTTGTTGATGGATGAGGGTAGACAGAGATATCTTTGCATCAGCAACGTCTGTTGATAAAGCAATAAACTCGGTTTTATATGCATGTTTTTGGCTAGAGATATGGTGATATGCTTTGTTATTTAAATTACAGGTTTTTCTAGGACTGTGGTGTTTGAGGATGGATGGATGATGGGTTGATCTGGTAGAAGGGAGTTAGTGCTAGTAATGGTTATTGACAAGGCATTCTTAGTAACATTTTGAGTAAGAACTTAAGTTTTAGGTCTCACAAGTGCACTTTGCTCACTTAACCTTGTTAGAAATATAATTTTATTATTAAAAATATCCCAAAAAATCAAGTTTACTTACCACTTTGTAACCCCCAATTAAGTTGTTAGCACTTTAATAGCCAAACATTCATAACACGACGACGGGTATTTGTTGTTTAATTTTTTGTGTATAATTCAATTTGTTTGTCACGGCTAGCATATGTGATATTTACTCTGCTTATTTATTCAATAATAAATATAAATTTATATTTCATATTTCTCCCTTTTGTAACTGGGCTTTGCGGGTATTTAATGATCTGCTGCACCGCCTGGTCTACTCGGTTTTATTACACATTGCATTAGGCACTACATTAATTCCTGATGTTTATGTTGTTGTTGTTGTTGTAATTTTGTTTGTTTGTTGGTTTTATTTTTTTTGTTTTTAATTCCGTTTATGCTGTTTGCTGAATTAATTTATAAAATATTTAAAGAACGACGCGCCGCAAGCTTTTATTTTTGGTTATTTCTGTTTGTGTTGTTTTTTTTTTTTCGCCATGAATTATTGATGGCGTTTGTTTTGTATTTTGTTATTCATTTATTACTTTTGATAATATTTTTTGCAGACGCTGTAAAACATAAATGCACATGTTTAAAGAGGGTTTGGCTAGAGGGGGTGGAGAGGGCGTGTTACGTATACGTAATGGCGAGGCGATAATAAACATGCACAAACACAATAAATTTCACATTATAAACACAACAGCAAGAAGAACAAAATGTACAATTAGCAACAGCGAAAGCATAAATTTCGGTTAAGAGTTTTAAACCAAAAACAAAATCTCGTATACGCCACGTTAACGCGTGATAATTATGGCCTTTGGGCACGCAGTGTAGGCCACACCAAAATATCTTGAAATTTTGTCCATTTTTTTTTTCCTTAACATTCCATCCTTTCTATGCTTCCCCTGGACTGGAGGGAATGAACGTTGAAAGCGAAATGTTTTTAGCAAGGACATGAACGCGAGGTGGCAAGGTCTGTCAATAGCCAAAGTTGGCTGACGAAGCCAAAAACAAAACACTCGGCTGCAAAGAAGCCAAGCGCAGCCAGCCTTTTGGCAGCTGTAAAAACATATATGTAGCTGCTAGGCTATGTAGTTACATACATACATACATATATGTCTATGTGGGAGCTGTCTGGGTTAGTAAAAGGCAAACGCGAAGTAAAAGGACTCTGGCTAAAGCGACAAAAAGGATATCAAGCCAAAAGCTGGAAAGAAAAGAAAGAAAAAAATAAGCGCAAGCAAAACAAAGTCGAGCGGATGATGAGACCTGACTGGCCCAGAAGAAAATGGAGAGAAAAGCCAGAGCCAAATGATACAAAAAAGGTTTTCCTTTTTTTTCTTTCTTCTCACCCATTAAAGGGGAAGTGTTCATTTTGGTTACCAAGTGTAAAGGTGGAAGCTATGATTTCTTGTCTTAATGGGGTAAAGGGAGAACGTAAACAATTATGGGTTAATTATTAGAATTATTTAGAGGTTTGAGTTATCTAGTTCTTAGTAATGTTTTAAGTTTAAGGAGTTTAGTTTGGGTACTAACAATATTCCTTTTAAAGTCGCTCATTTCTGTCTTTAAAAGAAAAGGAAACCCAGAAGAATTATTCCTCATTTTTCAATTAGCAAAGAAGTTCATTTTGACCACTTACTAACTATATTTCTTAGCCATAATTTGAAGGTGAAAAAATACACTCTTTTGTCTTAAGAAAACCAACCAGACAATGGACAATTATGGGTCATCTTTTGGTCATCTTTTGGTCATCTTTTGCCTTTGTCATTTTTCGGAAATCCCTTTTTAATGTGATTTATTGATTGCGGAGGTCAAACTTTATACGTCCCACTACTACCTTAGGGCATATATATATACGAGGTGTGTTCAAAAAGTAAGGTGACTCTTCAAATTTCGCGAATTTCAAATTTTTCGATTATCGATTTTTTTGTTTTGTTATATTGGTACACTCTTCCCTAACATCTGTACCAAGTTTCAATGGAACATCCTCTTTTGTTTGGTTGTGAGAGGCGTAAAGTTACAAGTTGTTTTGCGAGCTCGGCGATTTTTTGCTATCGAAAAATATGGATCAAAGGATTTGGATTTTTTGGCCAAAAACAACACCACAATAATGCCTCAGCCACCATATTCACCGGATTTGGCCCCATGTGACTTTTTCTTGTTCCCAAAACTGAAGATAATCGAAAAATTTGAAAAATTTGAAATTTGAAAAGTCACCTTACTTTTTGAACACACCTCGTATAACTTCTAAAAGGTTTCGATAATCGAAAAATTTGAAATTCGCGAAATTTGAAGAGTCACCTTACTTTTTGAACACACCTCGTATAATATATTTTTCTATATATAATATAAGAAAAACGTATTTGTCATGCCTTTCATTCTGTTATCTTTCTATCTTCGTTTTTTCCTTTGGTCTCCCTCTGTTTAGCCATATTCCACTTTATATAGATTCCATGATGACTTTGCTTGTGTACGCCCGACTTGGTTTTTGCTATTTACACACGCCTACATGGTTGGGTGGCTGAGGCGAAGAACCTCAACCTTCAGAGGCCATAATATCTTCTACCCGCCAGAATGGCTGCGTCGTCTGTTTTATAATTTCGCACAGACATCGCCAGAGCCAGAGTCCTCCCCTCCCACTCAAGTGCCCTGGGTTGACACTCGCACATTCAAACAACACTTCATAAAAAAGCCGCGCTTGTGCCCATTATTTATGTATATTTTCACCTACATTTATTTTATTTATGAAGAGCAAAACGAATGGAGACAGTAAAAACTAAAAGAGGGGAATCTTCTCAGTTAAGTTAGGGGGGCGGCCAAAAGCCTAGGGGAGAAAACATCAAAAAAAAAAACACAACAGATGAGAATAAAAGAGGATATCTTTAAGGCACAAAAATAAGCCTAAGCATTGTCTGTGGAAAAGAAAAGCTATTAATGTGAAGAACATTTTTATTGCAAGTTCAAAGGGCTTGGCATGGAAAATATAAAAATACAAATTAAATACGTTTTCCTCTTTATGCTTTTTTCTGCAAATAAATCATTTCAATTTTAATTATAATAAATCTGAAATCTGAAAACAAGCGTAAACAGAACGATAAACTAATTTAAAGTTTAAACCATTCAATAAACCGAAAGTTGTTATTTAAAAAATTGAATTTTTCAATTAAATATCTTTTTTATCTTCAACGCCAAGAACCCAATAAATATTAAGCACATACATATGTGTTATAATAAGCATATTTAATAGAAGCTGTGCCGGCTCCTCCTCTACTGTTGCTCAGTCATGATGCATTTGCATATGTGTCAGGGCATAAATATATAGAACGCAATTTATATATGCATCTAGTTAAAGTTTTTCCTCTTTTTGGTTATGGGTAGGAGGAGAGGGGTTTGACTTGACATGGCGGAGGAGGAGCTTGGGGTCAGAGGGCACGTTCGGATGAAGCCTGCACTTGTCACGCCTTGTCTTCTTCTCATTCAGCATGTCTATGTGTGTGTGTGTGTGTGCGATGCTATTTGCATGGGGGCGTACTATGTATGTGTGTGTGAGTGCGGTTTGGCCTCGTTGAAAATGCAAAACAAAAACACAAACAAACAAAAAAATGAGCAAGCGAGATAAATAAAAAGGACAACAGTGTGTGGGAAAAAAAAAGGACGAGTCTAAGAAGGCAATGCCCGTGGCTTTTTCAGTTTGCCCATAAGTGTCTGTGTGTTTGTGGATGTTTACTTCTGTGTATGGATTTGACGACTTTTGCCATATATTGTAAAGTCCAAAACAAGCTTAGATCGCACTACTATAGACCGTTTTATGCAGAAGAGAATCCTTTGGAAATCTCCTTGCAATTGAGGCACTAATATTTTTGAAACTAGACTTAAAGGCTGAAAAAGCATTCTTTAGATAGAAGTCTTAAGAACAAATATAAGTTTAATGATAACAATAGCTGAAATTTAAACCAAAATGTTAAAGGTAATAGTTGTGGTAGGACAAGTTCTGCTAAGGCCCACTGTACAACTTTTAGCAAGGTATATATAGGTATAGGTATAAGACCCACTGTAAGTTAAATTAAGAAACAACTGTAAATATTTTCCATATATACTGTTATCTCTTTCTATCATGTAAGTTTGCTTCAAGAGATCGTTTTGTATATACATCCATTTCGCTCACGGACAAGCGAGCAGAGGGAGGAACAAGAACTGAAAAGACTCTTGGTTTTTGACTTTCGAGAATAGCGGTTGTGAGGATGAAAGACATAAAAGAAGAAAGTTAACCCTTAGTGAGTTTTATACTATTACAAAAGTTTATTTTATTTCATAGGTAAGCAACGAAGTGCTTTTGTACTACAAATTAAGGGATTAAATAATTTTCATTCACAATTCTTAATAATATTCAAAAAACATATACATTTCCTTTTAAAAATCATAATTTTGTGCGATTTTCTTTAACCCGCCTACTTTATTAAACCCACCAAAGAGAGAAATATAATTTTAATTAATCGTCACTACACTTTTTCATCTGCCGGCTTCCGCCAACAAAGTTAGCAAAAAGTCAGCGCAACTTGAGGAGTTTTTAAAGCACTCATAAAAACAGAGTTCAGAGCAAGGGGCCTTGAGCTGCGTATTGTATCAAAAATGAAGCGTAGAATATAAAGGTTGAAAATAATCAATAATAAAATGAAGGAGTTTGCCGAAACTTTGGCAATAAGTGGTTTCAGGCTTGGTTTCCCTCGGGCAGACAGACTCCTTTAGGTTTGTGTTAATGTTGATCTTTTACTTAAATACCAGGCTATATACTAGTATAGCAACAGATGCAGCTAGCGATTAAAACAAAGTTTTTTGTGAATATTTCTGTCGCTTAAATATTTTATTATCCCCTGCCTAAGCCTAGAACTCCTTCTTAACCGCAACGGGGTAATGAACTCAATCTTCGCGGGAGTCAGCTGGAGGCTGGAATGCCCAAGCTAAAGGGGTAGACTAAAATATGTTAAGGAAATATGATCAACCCTCGCCGAATTTTCAATGCACTTTCTTGTGAACTAAATACAGAGGTTTTATCACATCCTCCTAAGCCACACCTTCACTTAATGGTAAATATATTTCATTCTAGGCTTCATCCTCAACAATTTGTGATGCCAGCTGGTCCGGAATAATCCATATTCCATCAGGTTGGGTTAGGGTATAAATAACAGGCCGCCGCCTGTAGCGATTGGCTGCACAAATGGAGCGTTTCAAGCCGGCAGCTGCAGCTGTATCGAAAAACAAGCGCCTTTGCACGTGTACGTGGCTATGTGTTCTGTGGGTGTCAACAATTGCACAGCTGGGCACACACACACACAGTATATACACACACTCAGACACACATATACACTCTTAAACATATACCCACACAAACTAAGATGCTGGCCAAGGAAGCTGCGGAAGTGGAAGAAATAATGGCTGTAGCGGCTGGGAGAATCAGCAGTTGCCACACTCACACATACATAAAACTTATAGTAAATCCATGGGTGGACAACTTTAAAAGGTTCTGTGCGGACAGGAGCGAAGGACCATAGGTCAGTGTTGAAAATGTAATCAACATTTTTATGGGGGAGCTCAACACTGAACTTTAAATCAAGCACACTGTGCGTATGAGTAATGTCTGTTTAACAGGTGGAAATTCGATTGAAAGAGTAATAGTTCGAGGAGATTGCTTCACTGAGACTTATTTTAACATTTTGTTTCAGTTTAAATTGTCTATTTTTATAGAAGTCCATTGTAGTAGCCATAAAAAACAACCCAAATTGTTAAGTTATCTGAAGAAAAACCAAAATAAAAATCTCTTAAAGTTGGCAGTATAAAACTTATTGCCTTTGGCTGTTTGTTATATTTGACAAGCATAGCCGCAAATACTAAAAATCACATAAAGCCTTAATTTAATTTGAATATTCAAGCAAAACCATCTAAGGAGTGACAAACACACAGCAAGCCAAATAAGAATGCAAAACGTAAAATAACTTTAATATTAAATTAATGACGAAAGGAAAGACGGGCAATCAAAGCAAGAATGCTTTCAGTTTTTGAAAATGTTGTAAAAAGCTTTGCCAAATCAGCATTATTAAAATGAGTTGGTAATTAATTGCATTTTCCGAAATACTTTTGCTTTCCATCAGCAAGATGTTGTCGAATTTTTCAAGCACAACTTTCACTGGAATCACAAAACACTGTGGGTAAACGGGGCGTTGGGTTCGCGGGTAGGAGCTGGGCTTTAATTCTCTTTGACGCTCGTCAAAGTTACGGGCCAAAAATGTATCAACACCCGACTCGTCGGTATGGAATGGCCAAAACAAGTGGATGCAGGATCTGGACCGAGAGGAAAACGATGACGCCGATGACGAAAACTCGTAGCACAAACACGGAGGAGGCGACAACAAGGACGACGCGGTGGGTGAACGACGATAAATGTTTACAAAGCGGCTACTGCCACGCAACTGAAGCGACAGGATGCAATAGCTGGCAATGCCAGGCGGCTGCGGAACGAATGGCAATGGAGCAGTCAAAACACGACTTCGGCTTTTCCGAAGCTGCCTTTTTAGGAATGGGTGGGTTGGGTGTTTGGTTGTGGCAGTGGAAATGGGATGGATGGTGGTGGAGTGTGTGTGTGTCTTTTTTTTGGGTTTGAGAAAGTGAATTCGCCGGCTAAGAAGGTTTGGGTTGGCCATTTTTTTTTTGTTTTTGTTTTTGTTGGGGTTGGTTGTGGGGAATTCGCTTTAACGGGCTAACTAACCTACCGCAAAAACTGACTCTAGAACTTGTAAACATAAAGATAAGAAAATAGCCAAATGAATTATTCAAACTTGCACGAATATAGTTAGGACTGAACTGGTCGTGCTGCTGGCGCCTGCGCCAGGACCTCACACACATGTATGGTGAGTCGGTACTAGGACAAAAAGGCCTAGACTAGAAAATAGGCCTAAGCGAATCAACATTAAGCAGAAGTGCAGCCCACACACGGCGTTAGAGTCGATGCCAAAAAGACGAAGAAGTGGCCGAGAGAGTGGGTGATGATGGGTGGTTTGGGCGTCTTTTTAGTGGGTGGTTCGAACTAGACAGAAACGCTGATGCAGCGGAGGCAGAAGTTTAGAGCACTGTGCGGAATATGCAAAACCAAAACAAAGGCAAATTAAAGGCAAACGCAAAATCAAAAGCAAAAGCACACTCTTTTGTAATTGCCTGGCCAAACTCTCTCTCTTACTCTTTACAAATTTCTCTGCAAGACTCTCTTTGGGTGACATTCTAGGCACGTGTGTGTGTGGGTGAGTGTTGGCAGTTCATAGTTATTAGCAAAAGCAAAATACTTGGAAACGGAAGGACTTACTAATTAATACATGGCCAAACCAAAGAAAATGTTGACTTCTAATTGAATTATTAAGCTGCGGGCTGAGTCACATTTTGATTAATGGCCTTACCATCTACAGAATGCCAACTGGAAACAAGAATTACACGATCTTTAAGTTGGTAATGAAATTAAAATACCTTAAGCTGCACGGAAGCCAAATAGAATTGCATGAAAGGTGATAATTACCAGTGAAATTTCACGGTTTCCAATCCCGTGACGAAACATTGAAGAAGCTCTATATTTACCGAAAAAAACTGCTCCATTTTCTCCACAAAAACTAACATGCAATCTATAATATAAGTGCAAGGAAAGAAGTGAAAGTAATTTTCACGTTTTCTAACCTGACCAGAAAAACGTGAACATCTCAAGGCTAGGTTTTCGTGTGACATTTTTATAAATTACACAGTTTGAGTGCCCTTCAACGATTTCTGAAAATAAACCTGTTATCCAAAGAAATAAGCACAGAAACATTGGTATGACATTGAAAACCTATATTTAAGGTGATTTATGGCACGAACATTAGCTAAAGTTAGGAATAAAAAAGGTTATTTAAAAATATATTTCAGTTCAATAATATATTCAAGTTCTTCCTAAAAAGGTAAATAAATTTACTCGAATTTCTCGCCATATTTCCTATGTCCTTAACAATTGAGTGAAAAGTCCCAGACGCGTTGAGTTAGCTTAGACATTTTGTAAGAGCAGGCGACAGGTGAGAATCGTGACTTGAATGTGAAACAAAAACAAACTCACACAAACATAAATACAAACATCACCAACGACAAGAAAACTGTGTGGAAAATGTACCTCTCTATTGAACAAAAAAAAAAGGAAAAACCAGAAATAAACAAAGAGTCATCTCCAAGAAAGTCGCTAATAACGATTTTTCAATAAACGCGAGTCGCTCCAAAAAGCGAGACGACCTTCCCCACTTTTTCCCTTTCTGTTTTTTATCCCAACTTGAGTATTTTCCTTTCTTCGCTTTTAGCCTTCTTAAATATAGTTATTATGTTGGTTTCTGTATTGTGTTCCACTTCAGTTTCACTTTCCATTTTTACGGCTTTATTTTCGCTTTTGCCTTCCACTTTCCTAGACACATTAAGAGATAAAGTGTTGGGAAAGCGAAAATACTCAAAGTTAGTAATGTTAGGAAAAGTTACTAAGCAAATGAGATTAAAAATTATGGCAATTCATAAACATAGTTTTAGTTTAAACTATCTCTTATATTAAAAACAAAAGTCTTTAAAGATTTCCTTGAAATCACTTTTGGGAAAAGTTACAGCCACCACTCTCCACTCTTAAGCTTTCAGCTCGTCTTTTACTTAACCTTTAAGCTTTCCTCAGGATGCACATTGCATTAAAAAAGTTAAAGCCAAAAATAGGTTACATGGTCTTTCAAGCCACGAAACAGGAAAAGAGTTAATCTGCGCTGAGCAAGCAAAATAATTTCCGATTTTTGCAAAAAAAAAAAGGAAAAAAAAGGAAAATGCAGACGAAAAGGCAGACTAATTAACGCAGTAAGACATGAGGAATGCTTTGCGTTTCCTTGCTCAGGAAATAATCAAAAATGCCTAATGCTGCCAACTAATGGCACAGAATGGTTGAATACATAAAATTGGCTAACGCCGTGCTGCCTTCTAGACCATATATTTTAGCTAATCCCTGAGATATGCAGCCAAAAGCTCTTGAAAAGTGTAGAGTACTTTTTAGAGCTCTTAGACTTTTCGCAGCTTACATCTGCTGTGGATGGTTTCCGCTTAATTATCCCGTCGTCGCTTCAAAACCAATTACCACTCCTCACTCCCTTACTCACCCTTACTCTGGCTGTTACTTATTTAAGATCCTGGGCCTTCTTTTCGTGGCTGTCTCATAGTTGATCGTTTTGGGCCTATTAGCCTTAATGGGACTATCATGCCTGACTACCAAAACTTTAGCATATATACACATTTTTTTGGAGCGCGAGTGGCAGACATTTTTTTTTTTTTGATGTCCGACTAGCGCTGACCTTTGGTCTTGCAATTTTTTGCACGTCTTTGCAGTTTTCAATTATTTATGGCTTGTGGACGCCTTTGCATTAAAATTGCCCAAGCAGGCTTAACCAAGTCCATGACCACGTCCAGGCTAAAAACGGTACTAGCGACCAAATTGCCGTACAGAAATATTACCACCATTGCATATGACTCACTCTACCATGTGCCATTGGCCCCGTGCTTTTGGCCCAGTCTGCAGTTCAGTTCGTTCATGTAACCTGCAAAAATTGCTTTATTCCATGGTGAGAAAAAATTTAGGAATTGCCTTTGGGGGGGGACGGGGGTTGGGATTTAAGAGAACCACATAAAAGGTCTTTTTGCTTTCGAAATGACTAAATTAGCATGTAAATGTTTTCCAGCTTAAGTTAATTTTATTATGAATTTCATGTTTGCCAGGCACGTCATTGAAAATGCCTCTAAATTATGGAAATTCAAAGCTAAATTGGATTACAAAACTGTGTTGAAAGACTGCAGCAAAGTTGACCCTAAAAGTTAAATTTATTTTGCAAATGAGTTTATAATAGAAACTTTAAACTATGTTATTGAATATTTCTTCGAGTTTGTATAGCAAATTTTAGAATTAGAAACTGTAAAATCTTTAACTTAATGAATCATTAAAGTTAACTTAAAATCTTCTTTCACGTTGAACTGATAATATCCACGTGTTGGCAGGAAGTATCCGAGTTGGTTGCCCACAAAAAGCCATGAAATAAATTATTTCAAGATTCAATTATTGCTAATAGCATAGCCCAAATGGAAATCAATTCAATTCACTTGACAGGCAGACACAGCAGCACTCAGGGAGGACCACAGCGGATAGGAATAAGTTCAAGCCTCGTCGCCTTCTCTCAGGACATACATATACTATATACCCATATGCTGGGACTGCCATGAACGTATATATAAATCGCATGTGTGACGATTTAAGCTAATGCATAATTGATTGTAAGGTATCGACAAGACGACATCCATTCGCACATGACTATGTGGTCTAAGGGCAAAGCAGATTTGCTGTTTTATTTGCTTAATTTTTGGAAAGCGTAACTTTAATGTGGGTTATTGACCTTCTTCTGGTGTTTAATAAAATATATAAAAATTCAGGTTTTTTATACTAAGAACTCAAAAAGAACTACTTAAGTTGGGATGCTGGGATGATAGATTAATAAATCCCTAAGTTCGAATGCCATACTCCAACGTATGAGCATTTTTGCATCGTGAAATTAGTTCGTCTAAATTTACCATGGAAATCACGTGGCGGGGGAGGAAGGGCAACGGATACCTCTAAGAGCATTTAATCCAGTGCTCTCTACCCAGACTCGCAAACATGTCCAGTTCTTTTCCGCTTTGCTTGTTTCTGTAGTTGACGGGCATGCAAACCCATAACTTTTGTCAACTGCAGCCGTAACTCCCCACCGCCGCTGCCACATCCCGTTCCATTTCGCAGGACCAAAAACCACTCCCCCTAAGCAACCACAAAATATGCTCGGCGCAGGGAAAATTTCATTTTTCTTCTGGTTTAGTTTACTGCAACTCGTCGTAGTCGTCCTCGTTGGAGTTCCTGCGTGGGCTTATGGGCTACGGGCTATGGGTTGGGGTAAAGAATGGGTAAAGAAGATAAGTTTTTGCGGCCCAGAACTGGAGGCAACTTAACGTGTTGCAGTCGGGGAGAAGCAGCCGCAGCAGCAGCAGCAGCAGCAGCAGTAGAGTTAGAGCAACGAAATTAAGAATTAGTATTCATGCCCCACAGTGTCATTTCCGCGAATGCGTGCGGGCGCAGAAGACTTGCAAGAAGAGAAAAAAAAAACAGAGAGAAAAATGAAAAGAAAAACTTTTTGCCAGCATTTCTTGATGGGAATGGCGTGGGACAGAAGAGCGCAGGCGATTGATATGCATACTATCAAAAGGAGGAGGAGGAGGTGGATGCAAGTTCAAAATGTGTGACAAGAATACGTGTTAATGTGTATGAGTGTGGGTGTGTGTGTGTGTGATGGTGGAGAGTTTATTGCTCAACTTTTCATATAAATCCTTAATTATGACATTATTTTGCATATTATAAAGTTACCAGCCAGCCCACTTTTAAGCTTCGCCCGAAGATGAGTGCCAAAGCATTGATGGTCGGAAGGTTTTGTAGCCTCATCCTTTTTTTTTCTTCTTGGGGGATCCTGTCGTCCACAGAATATGTGCAATAGTAGAGTCCGATGCCACAACGAATTTCACATACTACAAATTTTGCAGCTCGTGCTGCGAGTGTCAAGCGGACAGAATTAAGCCTCAAATGGTGGATCTGTGCGAGCAGAAGGATGCAGGATGTTCGAAGAGCGAGAATCGAGGGGTAGGTAACAGGTCGCCAATAGTCAGGCAGTTTGAAATATTTTGTATTTTATGCCAGCAAAATTCCGTTGGCCAAGTGCCAAGTTTGCCACCAATGCTGCCTGCTGCAACAGCCGTCTGTGCATCAGCACCACCAGCCAGGCATCATCCTATGAACAGTGGTGGATGGTGTGTGTAGGTGTTGGTGTTGGTAGTTCTAGTGGTGCTGGTGGGGCAGCTGGTGGAACTGCTAGGGAGCACCACCGACCGCAGACGAGAACGGGGGGCAGGGGATTTTCGATTTTAGGCTTAACACGGCCGAGCGCAAAAGTTCAACTCGTTGAACAGCCAACCTAGGCATTGTCCTCGTCCTGGTTGACATTAAAACTGATGCAAATATGCGCTCCAGGACATCGTCGAGAGTGCCTGCTTTTGTACGTTTGCCTCGTCTGCCTCAGCTTTTTTTTTTTTGAACCCAATCCTGCTGGCTGACTGGCTAGCTGGCTGGATGGCTGGCTGGCTGGCTGGCAAATTTTTGCGGCTTGACGCCGCATGTGACAGAAGAGACTGGCCAGCGAGGGGGTGTCTCTCGGAAATTATGAAAAATATTGACTATAAAGTGACAAGTTAACACATAATAATTCAGATATGAACATTCTCAATTAATTCGCTAAAAAAATCTTAACGTGTTAATAAAGGGCAATCAAGATATGTTTAAACCGATTTAACAGATATATTTATCAGTAGGCTAAGGATTTAAGGTTTAGAGTTTCAACCTAGTCTTTTACCCAATCTTTTTAAAACCAACATAAACCCTTTTCCATCCAAAAAAGTCAATCGATTGCACTTCGATTGTAAATCTTATGCCCTGAGTTGGGTTAAAGAAACACACGACATATTTTAACTCTTCCAAAATGCGCACATTGAGAACTCGAACATCCTTCTAACGCACATATCTCTCACATATTCCCTAAGCTTCACTCCTACTGCCAATTCGTGCATGTGTGTGTGTGTGTGTGTGTTTTAATTTATTTCACCCGCATGGGCCATAGAATTCAGCGCCTGAATGTATGCTAGACATATTTGCTTAGCCGGGCTAAGCTTTAAAGTTAATCCAAAAACTTTTGACCTTGAAAACTGGGTATGCAAGATGGGTGCCGGTGGGTGGTTGTCCAACTGAGTGGTCTGTCTGGTAGGACTACCTTTTTTTTCAACCATTCCCTTTGGTGGTGCACGACCAGACGCATGGCAAGTTTGTTCTTTTACCAGTTTTTTCGGCTTACAGACTTTAAACAAAAGATAACCTAACCTAACGCCTGCCACGCCCACCGAAAGAGGCCAAGCCGACCGGCACCAGTCTCACATTTACAGTTGGCTTAAGTAAACAATAGTGGAAATTTGAAATTGTAAATATTTGCACTCCGTTTCCGAGAACCAAACTCGGTTGGGCCGGGAGGGGGCACTTTTGGAGCGGTGGCGGGGGAGAGATTCTCAGTTGGGCCTACTCTGAAAATGGGGGCGTGGCTGCCGCAGATGGAAAGCCAGCGGGGCCTTTGCCTTTTGCATCTATGTTTAACTAAAGTTTCGTGCGCTTGTGCAAATAGCACAAGGATTCGCCTTTCGTCCTTTCGTGGACCTTGCCCAAAGCGGATTACAATCATAAGCGAAAATTAATGAATTTCTTACCAGCATCTTAGTTTCAGGGCGAAATGTGCTCATAAGCAGCAGCCTCAGCCAAATTACTAATTTCGTGACCCCCCACACCAGCCATCTGGTGGAAAATACCTAACGGAAAAGTCAAAAGTGGCTGCAAAGTTAAATGTTCTCTAAACACCGCCACGGTGGCTAAAATCCTTCAGACGCCACACGGTAATTAATTAGACAAGTCATTTGTCAATATTATCTGCGACTTTTATAAATGGCACCGAATTTCCCCCTGTTTATTTCCAAATAAATAACAAAGTTTGCAAGCTCAGTCCACGCTAAAATACAATTTAGATACCAATTTTTGTTCCGAATAATTGCGTTAAATTGTATTTTTTTTTTAAAAATTCTAATAAGCAGATAAATTCAATCAGCTTTAGTATGTAGAAAATAAAAATAATTCTAATAAAATCAATTTTAAAAGCCTCGCATTAGTTTTGATTGCGTCATTGAGTGGAATAATTGAAAAAATATAATAATTAAAATTAAATAATTCAGTTTAAATCACTGCCAATGAGGAGCTTTAAGTTAGAATTTATTGGAAATGAAACGAAACTAAAATAGAAATTATTCATTATAAATGAAAGTAATTACGGCTCATAGAATGATGAAGTAGGAATCTCAGCTCAGCTTCCTTATTACAATGATAAACACTCAGGCAACGTTTTGGCCAAGATTCTGCCACATAAAGCTCACATTTGTGGTCACAGCAACAGCAGTAGCAGTGTTCCTCCTTTCTTGGCCATTTTCCAGCTATAAACAGCAACTTTAAGTCATCTGCAAGGACTATTATCCTTCTTGGAAATGTTTGTTTTATGGTTTTTTTTTCTTGCAGCCGGCGGCTTTCGGCAAACACAGGTTTTACACATGAATACCTAACTTATTAAATTGTAAACATGCATAGATGTTGTTTATTGGGGCAGGCATTAAAATGTAATAAGAAGGTGGCACAATGCGTTTCATTATGTTAAATATATATACAAATATTATTATTACAAATATCTTGTTAATTCAGATGTCTTTTAAGGCAGAACCATTTGAAATAAAATTAAGTTCTTTCCCTTGATTAAAAATAAGGAAAGCTTAGTTCCTCCCCATTTTCAATGATTTTCAATTTCTTAATCTTCTGACTTCTGAGCAGCAAATGATGAACCAAATAATGGCCTTCTAGCAGATATTTACAAGCCAAAGAATATAAA